TATGACAAGATTTGATACATGAGGTTGTGCAACACAATTTGTCTCCATTTTTGATTCAATTGACTCCGATTCAAGTCCTGAAACTGAATCAGTTTCCAGTAATGATTCTGTGGCATAAATTGCTTCATGTTGCTGCTCACAAATCCATTCTTGTTGCTGCAACAAACCCGCCGCCAAATTCTCCCCTTCAGAACCTCCTTGAATGGATCGCTGTTTAGCTTCCAAAGAGCACATTAACATCGGTTCCTCCGTAGGAACTTCGTGAACACATATCATGGAAGGTTGAACTTGATCTTCTCTCAGCTTATTAAGCTTTAATGTCTTCACGTCTCTGACAGATCCTTGCTTAATACCCTGAAGAAGAACCCTTTTATGTCCTATACGAAACTGCATCTCTAACTTCTTAAAATCACGAGTTATTGGCCCCAATGTCTCCATCCACTTAGCGCTTAATACCATATCACAACCCCTCAAGGGAATTATCATAAGATCAGCCTGAAATTGTGTACCTCTAAATTCCCATTGGAACTTATCTATTCTAGCATCAACCTCCAACATTCTCCCATCATCGACTGAAACTCTAGCCATACTTGTAGGTTGTAAAACACATTTCAACTTCTCAGCTACTTTAGGATCCATGAAGTTGTGTGTAAAACTCGAGTCAATAAGTATATACAATACTTGCTTCCCATAAGAACCCTTCACCCTCATCGTTCGGTAATGAGAGACTCCTGAAATTGCATTAGCAGAAATATGAGCTATTACTCTAGTTTCCTCCAATTCAACCTTCTCCCACTACAGGAAAAGAGGGTATTAATATCAGTATAGTATAGCGGTTTTGATAGTTCTGCTATAATTGAGTTTCGAGAAAATTTTCATAGCGTTTCTAAAAAGGGAAATGCTATGGTAAGATGACCGAGGGAATATTTAGTAGTGGCGCCTAATTTTTGGTTTTACGATAGCATATTGACAATGAAAACGTTATTATAGAGATAACCGGGAAAAGTGAAAATTTCATTGACTCCAAAAAAAATTTTCTAAGTAATAACATAATAAATAAATAAATAAATAGAGAATGACGTGCAATCAGAATTGAGAGGGTACGGAGATCAGTCTGGAATCTCGAGAATGACGTGCAAGGTCAGAAAACTCTGTTGCGATTGGAAGCTCCTACGCGATTTACAACAGACATTGATAAAGGCAAAGGATTGGTCTTTGATTTTGAGCATTCCAGTAGGTCCTCAACTGAAAACCAGAGTGCATTGAGACTGGCTACTGCAGGTGAAGAACATGACAACTCAAGCCTTAATTGTTATGCTACGGCTTCAAAACAGTCGTGTGGTTCTACGGTGTTCAGGGCTGGCTTTATAGCTGGTCCATCCGGGACCCAGACTAAAAATTCTAAGAGCCGGAGACGTCCAAGCCAATGGAAACGAAAAACTCAGGCGCTGGCCAAAGCTAAGGAAAAAACAAATAAGCAGGACTTGGAGAAAAATAAAGCTGTCATGGTTTATAAGAGGAAGGCTACTGATGAAGCCTTAACATCATCAAAACTCGCTAAGCGGGATGAAGAAAAGGTGGTTCCACATGAGGAACCGCCGAAACAAATATGAGTTTTATGAGCTGGAATTGTCAAGGCTTGGGGGGCAACTTGACAATTCCTTCTTTGAAGGAAATGCGGCGTGAGCATTATCCGGATTTTCTGTTCCTCCTGGAGACTAAAAACTCCAGCATTCACGTGAAGAAAGTGCAGCAATGGATGGGCTATGATCAGTCTCATATAGTCGATCCCGTTGGATTAAGTGGTGGTTTAGCATTATTTTGGAAGACAGCGTATGACGTGGAAGTTCTTAGCTCGGATCATAGGATCATTGATGTAAAAGTTAAACTTGGTTCGCAACAATTTTTTATCTCTTGTGTTTATGGTGATCCAGCACCAAATTTAAGACAAGTTGTTTGGGATAGACTGATTGATATTGGAGCTTCTCGAGATGATCCTTGGTTGGTTTTGGGAGATTTGAATGAAGTTCTAAATAACAATGAGAAACTTGGTGGACCAGCACGGGCGGAATCAACTTTCTTTCCTTTCCGGAATATGATAAATGATTGCCGTCTACGGGAGGTCCCTTGTATTGGAAATAAATTTTCTTGGGCTGGAGAGCGTAATGATATGTGGATTCAATGCTGCTTAGATCGTGCATTAGGGAATGAAGCTTGGTTTCATTTATTTCCACGAGTTCAAGCGGAACTTCTTGAAAGAATAGGGTCTGATCATCGACCTTTATTTTTACGCTTTGTTAATGAAAACATATCCAAGTCTGGTCGGTTTATGTTCGACAAGAGGTGGACCTCTAAACCGGAATTGTTGAGCATTATAAGAGATGGGTGGAGTAAGGAAAACACTACAGGGCCGACGAGTATTCTTCAACGTATAGCTGAGTGCAGGAAGCTCATTTCCCTTTGGATACGGCAGTCCAATCAGAATTCCAAGGAGAGAATTAAAAAGTTGAGGAATCAACTAGATAATGAAGGTTTGAAGCGACAGCCTCATCATGGTTTCATGCGTGAACTGCGATGGGAATTAGCGGAAGCTTACAGAGAAGAGGAACTCTATTGGAGACTGCGAAGCAAGGAAAAATGGCTGAGTGACGGTGACAAGAATACTAAATTTTTTCATGGTAGTGTTCAAAAGAGGAGGGTACAAAACCGTGTTCTCTCCTTATTTGATGAGAATGAGATCGAACAATTTGCTGAAGGATCGAAAGGGGAGATTGCGGTTGATTATTTTCGCAAGATGTTCTCTAGCTCTAATCCTTCTCAGATTTCGGAAGCTTTAGATGGATTGTTGCCTCGAGTGACTGACACCATGAACACAGAGCTTACTAAACCGGTAACAAAGGAGGAAATTAAGAAGGCGGTTTTTAGTATTCGTGGAGACAGTACGCCGGGGGCGGATGGTATGTCAGGCCATTTCTATCAAACTTATTGGGACATTGTTGGACCAAAAGTCGTTGAGGAGGTTCAACAATTTTTTCAATCTGGAATCCTTCCTTCAGAATGGAATTTTACGCAGATTTGTTTGATCCCAAAAAAGGTTAATCCATCAAGAATGACTGACTTACGTCCTATTAGTCTATGCTCGGTAATTTACAAGATTATTTCGAAAGTACTATGTGCGCGCCTCAAGGTTTATTTACCTAGTTTAATTTCGGCAACTCAAGGAGCCTTTGTTTCTGGACGACTTATCTCGGATAATATTCTCCTCGCCCACGAAATGGTCCACGCTTTAAGAACAAATCCACATTGTGACGAGGACTTCATAGCCATCAAAACTGATATGTCAAAGGCTTATGATAGAGTGGAGTGGAATTTTTTGGAAGAGTTACTTCTCAGGCTAGGCTTCAATGTTCAATGGGTTCAATGGATAATGAGTTGCGTTAGATCGGTCTCCTATTCAGTCCTCCTTAATGGAGCGTCGTATGCTTTTATTAAGCCGGAAAGAGGTATAAGACAAGGCGACCCGCTCTCACCTTTCCTCTTTATTTTATGTGCTGAAGCCTTGGTGCATAT